CAACAGAGTGCTGCTACATCGACTGACAAATAGCCTGACTCGCAAGGGAATGCTGCTACATCGACTGACAAATAGCCTGACTCGCAAGGGAGTGCTGCTACAACAACTGACAAATAGCCTAACTCGCAAGAGAGTGCTGCTACATCGACTGAGGGTTTGGTTTGGCCAGGCAGTCTATCAATTAAAAAAAAAAATTTGTTTTAAAAACTTTTTCTGGTCTGGTTTATTAACGCGTTTTTTAAAACTACAGTTTATGGGAAACATTTTTTGATGCTATGCAAGAGACATGCAAGAGTATATATATATATATATATATATATATATATATATATATATATATATATATATATATATATATATATATATATATATATATATATATATATATATATATATATATATATATATATATATATATGTTTTATTATATATATTAAACAATAATATATATATATATATATATATATATATATATATATATATATATATATGTATATATATGTATATATATATATATATATATATATATATATATATATATATATATATATATACATTTTGTAGTTAATATATATATTTATACATATATTTATATATATGTATATATACATATATATATATATATATATTCATTTTGTAGTTAAAAAATATCGACAATAGAAAATTTAAATTAACAGTCAATTTTTAAAAATTTATAAAAATAGTCAAAACTATGTTTTTAAAATAATTGACTTTTAACTTTTTAATTTAATTAAGCAATAATAACATTTTTAGATGAAAGTAATTTTTAGTTATAAGAAATATATATTTACTAATAACTTATTGTATTTTGTTTTTATTAATTAATTAAAGCAAAAACACAAAGTCAATTATTTTGAAAACTTAGTTTCAAATAATAAGCCTTTCCAGAAAGCGTGTGTGTTTGCACGCTTTGTGCGTCCATGTGTAAAGTAGTTTATTTATATGCATTGACCATAGCAGTTTGCAGTTTGCAACCTACTGAGAATAAAGAAACCAGTACTAAAAAAAGAAAAAAAACTGTACTGAAATATTAAATTAAATATAAAAAATTTTTTTACAACTTTTCTATTTTTCTTTTTAGAGTTGTTATTTTTAGCAACAAAATTACAAGTTGAAGTATTTTAATTTTTAACAGCAGTTTTTTAATTTATATAACAACAATGGTATGTTTTGATATGCAATTTTTCATGATTTTTAAGAAACTAATTTACTATATATGCTTGAATTATGAGCAACTTTGTTTATTTTATTTTTTTTAATGTTTATTCATTTTCACGTCATTTAGCTTATTAAAATATTTTTGTAACATTTTATGCTTTTTCTTAATACTTAAATTACAGGAAAATCAGATAATAAATTGCTATTTATTTGTAAAACATATTACTTGATTAATAAATTTTGTAATAAAGGAAGAAATTGGATAAAAGAATACCATAGTTTCTTGTATAATTGTATTTCAATAGTTATTTTTGTCTGAAATTGTTTCCATTATATTGCCCAATTTTCAATGTTATGACAAAATACTAGAAATAATGAACATGATTTCTCTCTTTGAAAAAATGTATTAAAACTTTAAAAAATGTTTTAAATAGATTCCTAAAATTTTTGTTAAATAAGTTTAGTAAATTAAAAATGCACTAGTTTAAAGTTTTTTGGGGCGTTGATAACAAAAGTTGATCAGGAAATAAACTATCAGGTTTAAATACGCAATTCAGAGAATCCAAAGCAAAAATGCCGACTATTTTAATGGGGGTAGTGAAAACAACCAAATATATTATTTATTATTTTACATGAAAAACTTTTTAAAAAAATAAAAAATTAAAGTTTTACAAAAAAACAGCAATTAGGTTTCTTGCCTTATAATATTTAATTAGAAATTTTCAGACTTTATTTATTTGAACGATGTCTTTATAGTTCAGACAAATTGACTATAATTGAAAGCGTCTTAATAATAATGATGTTGTTATCTTACTTGGGAGTTGAAGTGTAAGTTATTTCAGACTATTACGACTTTGTTATTATGTCTTGATGAGTTTATCATGGTTTAAAAACTATATAAAAAGAGTTCATTTTTTTATATGCAATCATGTAAATGGAAATTCTAATAAAGATATTAAATTAACTATGACTACTTCAAAAAACACAAGACTCTATATAGAAAGAAAGTTATCAACTTATTTAAGTCGAAGTAAGGATCATATTCTGTCAGAAGTGCAAACTTTAAGAGATATTTTGAGACAAAGTCTGCTTATCAAAGAAGCTTTACTCCAAGAAGATGTTAACAGGTAATAAATAAGAAACTTAAAATTTATGAAACAAATTATACATTGTGAATTATATTAAATATTTCTTGTTTTTAGAAGAAATATTTCAGTAAAAAGCCTTTCTTGACTACAAGCTGATATTGTTTTTCAGCAGTGGATGAAAGCAAATGCTCTTTTTAAACCTCCAGTGGTTATTGGAAAGAAAACTTTGATGGAGAAAATTGAATTTTCCTGGAACAAGATTAAAGATTATGGGAAATATAGCTTATGGGAAAGCTTCTAAGACACATGTGTCGTCTTGGGAATCAAAACTGGATCAATTTGAAGGTTGAATTTCCAAGGTTGAATTTCCATGGCTTAATGCCCAAAGGATCTATTTCAAAGTACCAGATGGGTTTCAATGATGTTAAAGAGACCGCAAGACAGATTTTGCAAGAGGATAAAAAAATGAAGAGGAAGTCTGGAGTAGAGAAAAAATTAGAAATGGAAAAAAAAAAAAGTAAGGTAGAAAATGATGGCGTTGTTGAATGTTTAATTGAGGATTATTAAAATTTAAAAAAGGAAAAGATTTCAGAAATTCTGCTTCAAAACAAGATTTAGAAAAAAAAACTATATGTCAATTAGTCATACTGCAAAAGTTTCAATAAGATATTTCACTAGCAGCAACATCAGCTATTGTTACATCCTTTCTTCTAGACCTTATTGAAGCGAAGTATTTGACGCCTGATATGTCTTATTTAGCTGTTGATCCTATGAAAGCATGAAGAGCAAAGGAAGCAATAATGGAGAGAGTACTAATGTCTGAATAAAAGATAATTAACAAAGAACCTATTAGAGGTTTGTTTATTGATGGAAGAACTCAATTTAAGTGTTGGAACAGAAACCTCTAACAAATAAATTTCACATAAAGACTATAAAAGAAGAACATATAACTGTGGTCTGTGAGCCTGATGGAAGATACCTTACTCATTACACACCACCACAAGCTATACACCAAGCCAACCAGCCAAAGAAGCCACATTTGCTCTTTACAATTGGATGGTACCAAGGGCAATCCATGATTCCTTAGAGGTCATAATGGGAGGTTCTACAAACTCCGTGACAGGTTCAGGAAATGATAGAGGTTTGCTGTCAAATCTGGAACAATTAGTAAGGAGAAAATTATTCTGGTCATTTTGTATGCTCCATTGTAATGAATTACCATTGAGGCACAAAATTGTTGAACTGGATGGCCCAACAAAATCAAAGGATGGTTTTACTGGCCCTATTGGAAAAGCTTTATCTAAAGTCAATAGTATAAAAAGGCTTGAAACATTTGAACCTATAGAACAGCTGGAACCTTTAATTGAAATTCCCATAAAAGTTCTCAGAAGATGCTCTCTGTTAAGTAAAGTATAAGTATAAATTGGTATATAGTTAGTTCACTTGCAAGATGGACATATATCTTTCTACAGCAAAGTGTGGAAATATTTGCCACAGCAGATGGCTTACCATAGCAGAAGCTTTCATTTTCCTCTATATGAGTGATCAAACTCTTACTGGTGACATCTAAGTAGTTTCACATCAACAATTTAAAAATTTTGACCCTTCTTGCATTTGTGCATAAATAAACAATTTTACCTTTTCAAAAACAGCAATCCCGCCTAGGTTAAAAAGTTAATATTTACATATAGTGGCACATTAAAAATTTTCCACTGAATCAAAAATCAAAAATTTTAAAAGTATGATATACCCTAATGGTCAGTGTATAAAAATAAACTACTTTACACATGGACAAATGTGGAGTGGAATTGCACGTGCTTTCTGGAAAGGCTTGTTATTTGAAACTAAGTTTTTAAAATAATTGACTTAGTTTTTGCTTTAACTAATTAATAAAAACATTTCAGATAAGTAGTTCGACTATAAATTTACGATTAGTTATAAGTAAATATTTGTTATTAGTAATTAAAAATTACTCTTATTTGAAATATTATTATTGCTTAATTAAAACAAAAATTAAAAGTCAATTATTTTGAAAACTTAGTTTCAAAAAATTATAACTTTTTAAAAACTGACAATCAAATTAAATTTTACAACCCAAATTTTGAAAAACTTAGTATTCAATTAAAGTTAATCAAAAAAAGATCATCATAAAATAAAACTTACAATTAATGAGTAGGTATTTTATTAAAACTTATTGGTACAAATACTGAGAAAATTACTCACAAGTTTCACATAATTAACCTAGTAGTGACAATATTGCAACATTAAAACATAATGTTGCCAAAACTTTTTAAATGTTATGTAGAAGAACACAATCCAAAAACCTAGGTTTAACTTGAGATTTGTACTAATATGCATACATAAATTTACCACAAATATTAAAATAAAAATATAAACAAACATATAAATATATTGTTGCATGCATACTAAATATAGTAACAAATATATTATTTATTATGGATGACTGCATAAAAATATGAAAACTCTTTCAAGAATAAAATACTCATTAAGACTTTAAATGTACAATTTTGTACTTTTAAATTCAATCAAAAAATTAATTTTACCTCAATTTTAGGCCAGAATTTTAATCTTGATTTTAAGATAACATGTACAAACTTTCATTTAAAAAAGCAGTAATAATTATAGCAACAAACATTATCATTGTTTTGAATACTAGTTGGTTAATAAACAAGCAAAAAAAAATTTAATTGAAAAAAGAAAAAAAAAAAATACCTATTCGTTTTTTGATTTTGTTTTATAAAACCAGAACTATCTTGATCATGAACAACCTGCTGTATACCAAAAATAAAAAAAATATTTTAATTGAAATGATTTTAAAATAAGGAAAACTAATAAGTATTTGCTGATCATAAACTTATTATCTATAATAAAATATAATATACACACACAGATATATATATATATATATATATATATATATATATATATATATATATATATATATATATATATATATATATATATATATATATATATATATATATATATATATATATATATATATATATATATATGTATATGTATATATATCAGATTTTCACACACATATGTGTGTGAAAATCTGATATGTACCACCATCACAGCAATACAAAGAAAGCACATAATTTAACATTCCTTCATCTTGTGCAAAGTATTATGGTTAAAAAAACTGATGTAAATGGTTACTCAGCTATCAAAAACTTAGCACCGTCAATCGCACACCTCCATATCTGGATTATGGAGCTTATGAACATTATTTCAGAACAGAATTGTCTCCTGCTGAAAGATAACTTGAGTACCAAATATGCAAAGACCGCAACATTCGTAATGATAAACTCTATATTGATAAGCCTGTACCACTAATGTGCTCACTCTGTAACAAAATTGAGATTTTTAATCAATTTTTTATAGATACCAACATTTACATTGCCTGTTTAACTCAAACCTGGCCTGACCCTAGTGGTAAGCAAATTTTTCTTTCTCAAGTCAATTATAATTACACTTGCATAAGCACTGAACATCAAGATCGCATGGGTAGTGGTACTGTTATATTCATAAACAAAAAATACTCAGATAAAATTGAAAAAATAAAATTAACTACAGACTATTTGTCTAACTTGGAGCCTAAACAAGAAATCGAACTAACAATTGCTTGTGTACACCCAAAGCTACTACCCCAAGGATACTCTTCCTGTCTATGAAATACAAGTTGCTTGCAACAACTTTTATTATTCTATACTCTCTGCTCAAGACATCTGTCAACCTCTAAAATCAACAAAGCTTGTTAACCCTAAGCCTTTGATGACACCACTTTTTTTTTTTTAATTTTAATTCACCTCCTCAAGGCCGAGAAGGCCACTACAGACGAGGAGGCTACTTATTTGTGGCTATAACCCTCTCTCAACTCTATAACTCCGAAACATGAACCTTGATGAACAAGGCCGCTGCGCGGAGAAACGAGTTAAGCGCGGTACTACCAGGGACGTGGCAAGGATCGAACTCCGAACCATTCGTTTATGAAGCGAGCGCTCTACCACCACACCACTACCGCATTATTCTACCACATTATTATACCACTTATTCAAGGCCTTTTAAAAGAATGTCAAAAACTGTTTTTTTTTCCGAGTACTACAAAGAGTGGAAATCGCTTGTAAATCAAATTAGTAAATTAATTACAAAAAGAAAGAGAATCTATAACAGGCGTTTCAATTCTAGAAAACCAGGTTTTTTTGGCATGAAATCAGTCTTGCTGATAAAGGTCAAATCACCACCCCTACCTCTGTGACACTAGCAAACCAATTAAATGATCACTTTCAAAGTGTTTGGATTGGTAATAAACAACCTTACCTCTCATGCTTCATCAACCAAGAGGCAAACCCGCCTATTACCTTAATTTTTACTTATAATAACATTCTCAACCAACTCAGCAAACTCAAACCAGGGTCCTCAGGACCAGATGACCTATCTCCGTTTTTACTCAAATCTACTTGCTTTGAAATTGCCCTATTGCTCTGCATCCTATTCAACTGCCTCATAAAAAACAGTTACCTACCTGACCATTGGAAATCAGCAAACATAACACCGATTCCAAAAATTTCTAACCCACACTTATCTAATACTATCGTCCAATTGCCATTACATCCACATTGTGTAAAGTTTTTGAACGTATTATCACCAAATTCATTGTCCATCACAACAAACACTTATGGGTCTCAAACAAACAGTTTGCATTACTTATCAAAAATCTTTTATTCTAAAATATCTCTGTATCCTTCGTGATGGCGTCAGTGACCTTTACCTCCCAAGCAATATTTGGAGCTCTACTGCCTTTTCAATGCATAATTTATATGTTTCTTAACCTGCATTTTTAGAAAACTATTAACATTAAAGGACAGATAAAATTGTACAATTCACTACTTGTAATGCTATTCAATTTTAAATAAAGATTTATAAAATAAAAAAAATAAAATGTATGTATATATATATATATATATATATATATATATATATATATATATATATATATATATATATATATATATAATATATACATAAATCAGGTTTTCACACGTCTTTATATGACCATGCAAAAAATAATATGTTTTAACAATTTGACCATGGCTAATGATATGTTTTCAAAATTTAAAAATGCCACACAAAACCTAAACTAAACTTATCTAAAAAAAAAATTGTAAAAAGAAAAAAAAAAACGTTATTAAAAATTTTGTTTTTATAAACTATGATATTCTTGACGTAAAATGTCATCATTTATAAAAACAAAATAATTTTTTTTTTTAATAACATTTGTTATAGAAATGCGCATTTAAACAATTCATATATTATAAATTAAAAAAATATATACAACTGTCAATAATATATATTTTTTAAAAACATTATCAGTAAATTGTTACTTTATTTTAAAGCATTTCGCTAATATGAAAACATTTGTTAAGAAGTTTTAATGTCACTTTTTCAGATTATTTTTTATTTAGTGTGTTTTTAAAATGTTTTTGAATTAGCTGCGGTTGTATCATCGTAGCAATATTTAATTTGCTTGCTCATATAAAGACGCGTGATTACACGTCTTCCTGTGAAAGCCTGATGTATGTATCAGCGCTCAGAAGAATTATTCAATGGTTGCCCATCAATATTGATCGGCTAAAACAAAATAAGAAAACCAGATGATCAATTTTTTATTAAATTTTACTATAATTTAAAATGCATTTTTTTTTTTACCTTACATAATCAAATTGCTATTGCCATTTTAACTTTAATTATTTTATTTAAAATCTAAATAAATCGTTTCTTTTCTTGTATTTTTTTTTAACTTTTTAAAAATAAACCATTTGTTTTGCCATTTTTTTATCATTTGTTTATCTAAAATTTAAATGAACGTTCCTTTTGCAGTATTTCTTTTTAAATGTTTTATCTTGAGTATAGATAAAATATTGCCAATTTTATTTTGATTATTTAGTTTAGAATTTAAATTAACATAAGTTTCACCGTAACTATAATTTAATTATTTTATTTAAAATATAAAAAAAATATTTTATTTAAAATTAAAATAAAACTTTGCCTTTAAAAAAAAAAAAGTATTATATTAAAAGATGATCATTTAAAATAAATAAAAAATACTGCTTTAGCCGGTTTTTCTTTAATTATTATATTTAAAAAATAATAAAAAATGTTATTTTGCCATTTTTATTTTACTTAGAATTAAAATAAAACTTGGCGTTTTTTTTTATAAATTATTTCATTTAGAAGTTAAATAAGTTATTTGTTATAAAATTTAAAAAAAAAAAATTTAAATATATATTTGATTTTAATGTAATATTTTTATCTTTCTGTATTTCAAACATTTTTCTATTAATAAATATTAAAGTTTGATAAGCAATTACAGTAGATCAAATTTGATCAGCCAGATTTAATTTGAGGATATCAAAATGTAAATTTTCTTAAAAGTAGCCAATGATTTCGAGCACTATTGTGTATACTAATATTCACATGCACACACACATATATATTTATTAAACTATAATAATAGTAGATATATATTGTTATATAGTTATTTATATATATAATTATATAAATAACAATTAGATATGTGTATTTACTATTTATTATTGCTCTGTTCTTTAAGAACATTGAGCACTCTATTTGTAGAATACACTAACATAATATATATATATATATATATATATATATATATATATATATATATATATATATATATATATATATATATATATATATATATATATCCTTATAGTTTAGTCGAAACAGACTATTAATGTTAAAAAAGTCTCTTTCAACTACAATTTTGCTACCTTGACAATTAAGCTACATATTATTGAGATCAAAATGTTAAAGCAATTAAATTAATGCGGAAGAACATTTAATTTTATTGTTTTTTTATAAAAAACGCAATAATAATGATTAGAATGTTTTTTTAGATAATGGTGTTATTGTTTTTGTTTTATTAAAATACAATTTTAAAACAAACGTAGAGTGTTGCTACTTCGACTATCTTATAGCATGATGCTACAAGGGAGTGTTGCTGCATCAACTATCTTAAAGCCTGACTTGCAACGGAGTGCTGCTACATTGACTGACAAATAGCCTGACTCGCAAGAGAGTACTACTACATCAACTGAGGGTTTGGTTTGGGCAGGCAGTCTATCATTTAAGAAAAAAAAAGATTATTGAAGTTTTTAAACTTTTTATGGTCTGATTTATTAACGCGCTCTTATATATATATATATATATATATATATATATATATATATATATATATATATATATATATATATATATATATATATATATATATATATATATATATATATATATATATATATATATGAAGACCACACGGGTAAAACCACAGATGTCACATTTTTCTCATTTCGAGAAAAATGAAATTTAGTGTTTAGTGACTTTAGATATCTGTTTATTAATAATTTATTTAATTAAAAGTATATTTTTCTGACAATTTAGTCCTTATACAATATAAAAACGCAGTTTTTGTGCTAAATATAAGTATTATTTATTCACAATGTTCTTTTGAAAACAAGACACTCATTTTGGACATCTGTTGTTTTTCCGTTGTAAACTCATCAACTTGTAAATTACGTTAGATTGTAACCTTTTAGAGCACTTATTTTTTTTTAAGGTAGATGGTAACACATTGTAATTTACAACTACAACGTACTAAGTGTGTGATGGTATAATAAAGCCACCGCCCCCTCCCCCTCTTTTAATTAAAAAAATTCGATTCACGTTCACAGAAAAACATTTTAAAAAATCAAAATGTTTTTTTAAATGTTTTTCTGTGAACGTAATGTTGTTTACTTCATCCAAAAAGTTAGTCATGTGACTTACGCTTTTATTATCATTGGTTTAGTTAAAAATAACTTGTTTTTTACGCGGTAAACATTGGACAACAGTGGTTGTTTCAAAGTTGCCCTTTTTTTTAAATGACCATAGAACCTTAAAACATAGTTTTTTTGTTATGAATTTTTAAATTAAAATAGGTTAATACTAAAATATCATAAAAATATATAAAACTTGAAATTTTCAAAAAGTGGACATCTGTGGTTTTACCCGTGTGGTCTTCATATATATATATATATATATATATATATATATATATATATATATATATATATAATATATATATATTTATATATAATATATATATATATATAGATATATATATATATATATATATATAGATATATATATATAGATATATATATAATATATATATATATATATATATATATATATATATATAATATATATATATATATATATATATATATATATATATATATATATATATATATATATATATATATATATATATATATATATATATATATATATAAATATATACTTATTTTCAATTTATAAATCTATTTATTTAAATATATCGCATTTTTATAAAGAAAGAAAACTTTTAAGTTCTTTAGTTTCTTTGAAGTCATTCTAACAGACTTTATATTGTTCATGAAAAATAATAGACAATACTTGGTTCATGGTTTTGGTATTAAATCCAATGGGTATAATAAGAAGTTTATCCAGCTGTAGATAACATAAAAAATGTTGAGAATATTGAGAACTAAGGATAACACTGAAAAAACTCTAAAGTTTAGATTTTCAAAAAAACAAAGGCAAAGTTAGGTGAAAAATTTTGATTGACTGCCAACTAAACTAAAGTGTACTCCTATTTTAACAGTAAATGTTTGGTAACATTAGAAATGATTACCATTAAACTAAGAATTTTTATATATTATTGTGCCTAATTTTTTAGTTGCTCTATAAGCATAAATTTTTTATGCCCCAAGTTTTCATTTCATTTTATAAATGCATTTTTTTTCCAAATATACTTTAAACATTCAACAATAAACTTTTTTTATTTTGCAGTAAACAATAATGCTTTTACAATATTTTACATAGAATGAATCAAATATCTTAAAATCAATTAAAAATTTTCATTTTATATAAATATTTTATGCTTTTATAAACAACTACCTGTTTATTGGACATTTCAGTCTTTCTGCTTGAGCAGCAGAAACCTAAAAGACAGAGTGCTTCTCCTGCAAACATAGTAAAAGTTACAATACCAGCATGGTTGAATAATGTCTTTTTTCCATCTAGCCCTGTAGACCTAATGATTTAAAAAATAAAAGTTTGCAAAATGAGAATATTTTATTTTACCACTCTTCTAAAAAAAATATTTTAATATCTTATAAATAGAGAAAATTATTGTTATTACCTTAAAATTATTGTTATTACTGTTATTATAATTTAATTAGAGTTTTTAAAAGCTGTTCATAAAGTCAGGTCAGTATTAGCTTAATATTTGTAATATAAAATATGATATAACAATCTGTCATGTTGTTTGTATGATTTTCTTTTATCACAAATTTGATGTATAAACCCCTTTTTGATAGAGCTAAAAATGATAACTCTTGTTTAGCCTTTTCTTTTAATATAAAATTTGGGTAAAATTAGTATGTTGTAGGTGATAAAATAGTTAGTTTTTTAAGAAATAAATATAAATGAAAACTAGATATTTTCTGTTGACTAGTTTTGCACTCTTTTTTTTATCTAGTTGTAGATTTAAACGAGTACAGTTTTATTTTAATGTTGAATGATAGATCTACTTTTTTAAACACATTCTCAGTTATCAACTGATTTTCTAATTTATATAAAATAAACTGCAGCTTGACACAGGCCTTGTAAAAGTTATTTATAAGAACAACTTTGATGTGCCAAGCTACATCTTTATAGGGTTTTGGATTGTTATTTTAAGACAAAGTCCTATTAGAGTTATTGAATTTAGAGATGTCGTAAATTGTATACGCACTAATGAAAATATATTACCCCCCAAAAAAAGATTTTCTTTAGTGAATGACAAAGAAACTTTGCACAGTTTTTTCACCCAGAGTAAAACTAAATGACGTCATTTTGATGTTTTTGTTTAAAATCATGACCATCATTCCCACACTGTTGCCGACTGTTCCCAATACAGCTATAGTTATACTTTTTAAGGTTTAAATTTTAGTTATAATACTTTAATGTTGAATGAATCTTTTCTAAATGCTGGCACTCAATGAATGGTTTATATATATAGCAGCCATCTTGTCATCTGATGTTTTTGTTTGAAAAACATTAGCATCAATTGTAATTTTTTTCTAAACAACTGAAGTATTCAAAGATTTTAAGGATCTTATTTATTTTAATCCTGTAAAATAATAATTATAGCTGTTATGCTAATATGTTGTTTTTTAGTGCTAAATATTATTGGGTGACTTAACTTACTTAGATGTTTGTAGTTTTGTAATACTTATGATTTCATCACATTCATATTGAAATATTGATCAGATATTTTAAATTATGTTTGCAAATTAATATTTAATATCTCAAGTTGAGTTTAATTTGGTATCATTTAATTTTAACTTTTTTGCTGAAAATGAGTGAAAAGATAAGTTCTTTAAATTTTTTTTTTGACACGTAATCAAACTGCAATATGGTTGATTGGTTAACCTGAGAAGAATCTACCAAACAATGTCCTTCCAACAATGGTTGATGTGTTAAGGACGTTTTTTCACTATCACAAAGCATTGAAACAAACAATTCCAGTCAGTGCAAAAGCAACATCTAATGGTTTAGCTAACATCTGGAAAAAGGCCAGAACTCCAATGACTTACCAGCCTCATATTGTATCAAAAGTGAAAGCATGTGTTGATGAATATAATTTAATTAAAAAGAATAAAGGAAGAGCTAGTAAGTCACAGATTGCTTGAGAGAAAAATTTTAGTATCAAATTAGATTTACTGTTTGACATTTCACACAAGGATGCAAACAAGGTAATTAAAATTGGTAAAGATAAAATATTTCTGGAAGACCCGAAGAATGCTCGTATGATGAAGATGGCTGAAGAAGATGTAAAATTATCTTAACAAGAAAAGCGAACAGCAGAGTGTCAACAAGCAAAAATATAAAAAAAGAAGACAGAATGAGGAAGAGAGTAGACCACAAGCAAATACTGTCCTTAACTTTAGCTGTAGCCACTTCAGTCTTTATTGTGATAGTGATAGCGAAGCAACAGAAGTCAATGACATTCCTGATGACAATGATAATTATGAAAAAGAAATTCTGGTTTATCACAAAAAATTAGTAACCCAATTAACTGACTCTGAGCAAAGTCCTAAAAATAAAAAGCCACATATTCTCAATGAAATTTTGTCATCTCCAGATGTATCATCCACATTTGATCAAATCAACTTATCTGACCAAAAATTCACTATATTGGCAGCTGCAATTGCTAGAGCAAGTGGAGAGGACCTCCAAAGTACACTATTATCAAGATCAACAGTCTACTGCAAACGCATCATGCACCGCTCATCAACTGAATATCATATTTGGTAGAAATTTAGTGAGAAACAACATATGGTCGTCCACTGGGATGGTAAGTTGATGAGAGACAGCAATAACTATGAAAATCTAAAGTCCAATGTTGATAGAATTGCTATTGATGTGACTGGTCATAATCTGGAGAAAATACTGGGTATTGTAAAAATATCATCTGGCACTGGACTGGCACAAGCAAAAGCAACTTTCCAGTTACTGACCATATGGAATGTTGCAAATTATATTATCGGTATGTGTTTTGACACAACAGCGTCAAGCATGGATTTTTAAAATGGTGCGTGCATCTTGCTAGAGAAGTTGATGGAGTAAATCTTCTCTACTTTGCTTGCCGCCACCATATGCATGAAGAAATTATTGGGGAAATATACTCAGTTTTGCTTGGACCCAGCAGTGGGCCCAACATAGCTCTATTTGAACAATTTCAGAAGTGTTGGCCAAGCATAAACCAAGCCAATTATGCTCCATTAGATGACGCCCATCTTGCTGAATCACAGCTTCAGCAACTTAGATCAGAGGCTGGCTCCTTTCTGCAGCCTTTCTTATCAGATGACTCTTGGCACTTACCAAGAGAAGACTACAAAGAGATGATCGAGCTGTGCCTTTTAATTTTGGGTTATCCATTATCAGACTATGCCACCAAGAAGTATCGCTTTCGCATGCCAGAAGCTTATCACATGGCTAGATGGATGACTAAAGTCATCATTGTATGAAGATATACCTCTTAAAAAATGAATTCAAGCTGACTATGAAAGAACAAAACAACTTGTGCGAATTTTATATCGTAGCTGCTCATTGAGCAGCTACGATATAAAATTCGCACAAGTTGTTTTGTTCTCTCATAGTTTTCTCATAGATATGAGTCATATCTATGTACCAGCATGGATTGCCTGTCCAATTGCAAGTGATGATCAATTGCTCCTGATGCTCTTCTCAAGAATTAAACAATATTTTGAGATATATATTTATATATAAATATTATATATATATATATTTTGAGATATATATTGAGATATATATTTATATATATATTATATATATATTTATATATATATTATATATATATATTATGTATATATATATATATATATATATATATATATATATATATATATATATATATATATATATATATATATGTATATATATATATATATATATATATATATATATATATATATATATATAATATATATATATATATATATATATATATATATACAAAAATGTATATATATATATACAAAAATGTATATGTAAATGTATATATATATATATATATATATATATATATATATATATATATATATATATATATATATATATATATATATATATATATATATATACATTTAGTAAAAATCTTGCTTTATGTAACAGTAACTTTTATAGTAGTGTTTTTTATAGTAGCATTTCATTAAACAATTGTCTTCTTAGTATTAAATATTTAGTTTAAATAGTATCTACAAACATGAGTTAATAACATTACAACAGCAGTTTTTTAAATGATTTTAATGAGCAAGAGATATTAAATGGGATCTAGTTTTTCTTCTTTAAATTCAGAGAATAAGGTTCTTATTTCAGTATTATTCAAAATTATTTTATGTAATTAAGAACATAATCCCAACTGTACTTTTTTTTCATTCAATAATTTGTATTATATATCTCGAAGCTTTTCCCACCATTTACAAAGTCATTGTAATGAAATGAATTATTTTTAAATAAATGAAAAATTAATTGCGCATTTAAAAAAGCTTCGGTTTTATTTAAAATTTTTTATTATTAAAATAATATGAATTTCTTATTCTTCAATCATTAAATAATTTTTGTAGTTATAAAGTCTAGTCAAGAAGAATATTGCTGAGATATAAACACAAAAAAAAAATTTAAACAAAGAAAAAAAAAAATTTTGATTTTCCAAAAAAAACAATTGACAGTCAAGTGCTTGAGTTAGCTAATCAAATTGACCGATGGATTTCGATTTCTTATTTTCCATGCTATATATATATATATAATATATATATATATATATATATATATATATATATATATATATATATATATATATATGAAGACCACAACGGGTAAAACCACAGATGTCACATTTTTCTCATTTCGAGAAAAATGAAATTTAGTGTTTAGTGACTTTAGATATCTGTTTATTAATAATTTATTTAATTAAAAGTATATTTTTCTGACAATTTAGTCCTTATACAATATAAAAACGCAGTTTTTGTGCTAAATATAAGTATTATTTATTCACAATGTTCTTTTGAAAACAAGACACTCATTTTGGACATCTGTTGTTTTTCCGTTGTAAACTCATCAACTCGTAAATTACGTTAGATTGTAACCTTTTAGAGCACTTATTTTTTTTTAAGGTAGATGGTAACACATTGTAATTTACAACTACAACGTACTAAGTGTGTGATGGTATAATAAAGCCACCGCCCCCTCCCCCTCTTTTAATAAAAAAAATTCGATTCACGTTCACAGAAAAACATTTTAAAAAATCAAAATGTTTTTTTAAATGCTTTTCTGTGAACGTAATGTTGTTTACTTCATCCAAAAAGTTAGTCATGTGACTTACGCTTTTATTATCATTGGTTTAGTTAAAAATAACTTGTTTTTTTACGCGGTAAACAATGGACAACAGTGGTTGTTTCAAAGTTGCCCTTTTTTTTTAAATGACCATAGAACCTTAAAACATAGTTTTTTTTGTTATGAATTTTT